TCAGTCACTGAGTTTTATTTTTTAAATCATACTTATAAAAGTAATTTGTATAAGTTGTAGTAAACTTTTGTTTTCCAACACCTTCTTAACTGCGAAAAATGTTAATGACTTTTATTCGACTGACTTAAAAAATAAAAGTTGCTCACTGATTTATATTGATGACTTTTAAAAGTAAAGTTCGGTGACTGATTTTTATTGATGACTTTTTTAAATAAAAGTCTTCAATAACTGTTATGTAAGACATATAATATAAAAATCCAAAATAATTGTTAATTTGGATTTAAAATATAAAAAATCAAAAATAATTGTTATTTTTTTTTTAATTTTGCATACAAATTGCAAATAAAAATTTATTTTGGATTTATAATACAAAAATTAAAAATAAATGTAAATGTAATAAATAAAAATATTTAATTTTTTATAAAATAATGCAAAAAAAAATTTATTTTAAAATTTGAGTCTGGGTGCAAAAGAAATCGATTGGAATCGATTTCCTTTATAGTGAATTTTTAGAAGACAGTTTTCATCAATAACTATTATATTCGGTCCGTGCTCAAAAGTACTCGATACTTCCCAACACTAACATTTATGTAGGATTTGAACTAAGAAACACACACACACACACATACATAAATGTATATGCAAAATGTTTACTCTGCTTTTGAATAGTTGAAGCATATGAATCTTAATGCTTGCTACTTTAGTTTTTGTTATTGTTTTTGCTTTTTGTAAATAAAGTACTTAACGTGTGGCATTTTGGGCTGACAGCACGACGACTGAAAGCCAGTCAGATTGGTTGAATGGCTCATAGACATGCCTGTCAGCACTTGGCGCGCAAAACTTTTATGAGTTTCGTCATATGCATAAGTGCATAAATACTTATGTATGCATGTATGTATGTGGGGTAGAGAGAATGAGTGGGGTAGCGAAGAAGGGAGGGGCAAGAGTTGGTGAGGCCCGTGTATGAGCGCATATTTCAAATATTTTTATCTTTTATTTACGTGAACGTCAATATGTATGCACTACTCATATTTGCAAGAGTGTTGCATGCTTCAGTTGCACACTGCTGCATAAAAATATGCCATAGTAAATTCATAAGTTTTCGTTGCAAATGCAACACTCAACGCAGCTCAGCCAGAGTCATTCAATTCGTCAAACCACTCACTGTATGCCAGGTAATTCAGCGTCAGCAAGCGAGACTGGCAGCTTGCAGCTTGTAGATTGCAATATGCAGACAAGCCTACATGCATGCATACATATGTACATATATACTTGTATGGATTTATTGTAGCGACATTAAAGTTTGCTAGTACCTTGTTGTTGTTGTTGTTAGTTTTGTTTTTACCTTTGACTTTGCCTTGTAGCCGACGCTGTTACTGTTACACCATTACAGTTGCAGGTAATATTGCTGCGGTTATACGCTGCTGCAAGCATTTGGATGGTAGTTGCATGTAAATTAAAATGGCAATCCGACATTGCTGGTTCGCGCAACGACTATGGCCCAGCAACACGCATGCAAACGCATGCTAGACCAAATCGAATGGCTGTGACAAGCGTGCACACACTCACACACACACATTTGTGGCATGTATACATTTGCATCTACATCCATAAATAATATGCATTTATAAAGTTATTTATTTGTGTGTGTGTGTTTGTGTGCATGTGTTTGTGTGCACTTTGGCATGTTAGTGACAAGTTAGAAAATGACATTAAACTTTCGTTGAAAGTAACTAAACTTTAATTTACGGAAATTTGTTGCAAACTTTTCATCATTGGTGTGCTTTGAAAATGTTTTGCATACAAAATATTTCGTTACTCATACGACATGTTGGCTGGTTAGTTGTTAACAAATTTCTTTCAATGCATGACTGCATATTTTGGTCAAATTATCTACTTGATGAAAAGTCATAACTTTTTGCATACGGTAGTTTGTAGTTATGCACCTTAGGTTGGTTTGTCATTGTTTGCGCCTTAGGTTAGATTGGCTTCTCATGACTTTTAACGTCCATTGATTGTGATTGGATAGTGCAATTTAGAATGTTTTCGAAATAATTTCTGCTATTAATGATGACTGTAAGCGGTTTTATTTTTTCGAAAAGAGTTGCGGCTTGTGAATTATTACAGTATGGGTATAAATCGGTATGTTTTAATAAAGGCTTTATTTCTTAACTACGTGTAGGAGGGTTGCCACTTGCTCATAAAGTCAAATTCAATAGAAATTATCGTAATAACTTAATTTAGGAAATGAGTTTGAATGGCTCTATTTCAAAACTATATTTAGGATGGTTGCCAGATATTCGAAAAATCAAATTCAACTCATTCATCAGTTAATTTAAATATCTGTCCCAATAGCAGAAATTTTAGAAGATTTTAGTTTTTAAATACTTTTGAAAAGTGTTGCCACCTGTTTGAAAGGTCGAATTGGGTTAACTTAAACACAAGTCACATATGTACCTATATGACATATTTAAACCTTATTTTCAAACGAAGGAGTTTTATAAAAGCTTTAGTTTAATACGTAATTTTTAAGCAAGAAATAAAAGTGTGAAAGTAGTCAATTAAAAGTTTAGGCATAGTCTACCCAAGTTGAGAAAAATAGTGAACCTATAGTTGAGTTCCCAATAGGGACTCTAGAGAACATACATAAGTATATACATAGCCCAATCCATACACATACTACGTCAATATGTTTGTCTGAAACAAATTAGTTAGTGGAAAGTTGCATTTTATGTATGTATTTCACTTTTATGCAGCGACCTTGCAAATAAAAATTCAACATAAAAAGCTATGTTTGCAATTTGCTTGTGACAGCAATAATTTCGCATCACTCATCCATTTAGCCATTGGAGTAAATCGTGTCATTGTTTTTACCGCACATTCAAGCTAGCGCCAGCAAATATCGACTTGTCATAAATTTTTATCAACTGACAAACACAAATCAAATCAGATTGCTTTTAAAGCTTCCATTACTACCACTTAGCCATACACATACGTACATACATATTCCCTGACACTCATTTGCGTTACTTTGCTCACAGTTTGCTCGTTGCTTTTGCTGTCAATCTCCGCTTCGGTTTCCTTTGTTTAGCTCATAGCTTTGCTATTAAAAGCGATTTATGGTTTATTATTGGTTGTGCTTTTTCTCTGTTGCCGTTTCGTCCGTCCATCCGTTATTCACCCTTTTTACCAACGCGCTTATTATGATTTGTGTCAGTCTTTGGGTGGGTGGGTGTATTTAACTGCATACATATGTATGTATGTATGTATGTATGTATGTATGTAGTTAGTTTTAAATGTTTGCACTGCAGCTGCGTGTTTGTGTGTTTGTATATTTATAAAGTTAGCGATTTTTATTACTCGTCGGGGTCACACCGCGTCACGAGTACGAGAGTAAACTAACTATATGTACATACATACGTACATATGCACACTCGTACATCACTTTCAGCTCTTACTTGAAGCTCGTAAAATTTTGTGTGGCACTTTAAATGCAATTCAAATGCAATTCTCCCCGTTTTCTTCAGCAAACATGGATTTTGCAATGAAATTCAGTGCTTTCTGTTATTTCATATCCCCTTTCGATACTTAAAATACCTTTATTCAGACGGGAAAGTTGTCTCCTTCATTTTATGAGCATTTTATTTTCAAAGCGATTTCTCTCAATCAGTGTTATTTGTTGCACATTTTGTGAAAGTTTTCTGTAGAGTGGGCGTCTTTGCACATACACATATCACAATTAAGTAGTAGAAGATAAGGAGCGCTTCAAAATCCTGCCCTTTGGAGCTGGTGTATGAAACTAACTTTCACTGGTATTCATCTGAAAAAAGTATCAGATATTCAACAGCCACAATTTACTTGAAGAGCAAGGTCTTCTAGGTAAGGACAAATCTTGAACAATATTTACACCATGTATCAGTTAATACAAGTGATTATGTGTTGCCTTTAACTGAGGCCTTCAGTATAATTTCCATCCTGAATAAAAAAATGGAAACTATGTTCAAATGAGAACAAGATACTCTGTTTTACACCGCAACGAGACATGTAACGTCTCCTACAGATCTATTGCGCCCTCTGCTCTTCAAAATACTTATTCCAAGTCTGAGTTTCTCGAGTGGTTGACCCCTCCTTTCACGGTGATGTCTCATTTGTCGAATCGTAAAAGCGGCAGAAATCATTCGACCATATCCCCAGCTTATGCAGTTGCTCTTTCTATCTGAACTGTCCTCTAACTATACCTAAAAATATTCTTAGTTTCTTTTTTGGAAGCCGCCATTCCGACTCTGTGCTCACACCTATTCGGTGCAATTGGTTGTGACCAATCGGATGCCCAGAAAATAGCCTAATGTCATTTCTATTGTCTAAAATAATATCGTTTCTGTTGAAAGGGTAGCCGAAGAGCCTGGCCTGTTCGAGGTCCTCCACCGCTCCCCAGTTTAAACTGCATTCAGAGGAATTATGTCTCTCGAAGAAGACCAACTGAGAATGATTTAGGTCCCGAAAAGGCAGTCCGGCGGTCCTTCTCGTGCCAACTCGCCGGCGACCTCATTGCCTTGCAAAAC